TTTATATATGGGCAGAGGAATAATGTACTGGAAGTAGCTTTGGAGAGTAAGCCAGGCATTTCATATATTTCAGATCCGAGGTTAATTAGAATGAGGAAGAGTGAACATCTATCTCAGAGAGCAGCAAAAGTTGTGTGTTCAGAGTAGAGGCTGGCATCAGTTAATACAATGAAGTTGGGGATAAAAATATTTTGGAATTTTGTAACTATGGAGTGGGGTTCTAGGAGAAAAGTGGAAAGACTGAAAGAAAGGAAAGAATTGGGTGTTTAATGGTGGGTAAGGGAAACAAAAAGCAGTTTGGGGATTGTGGTAGCAGAAGCCAAGCTCACTTCCCTTCCCATAATAGGTAAGGGACTTTTCAATGTCACAGCTGACTTGGCACAGACCACCAGCCCTGGTTAGTCACTCTCCTTACGGCCCGCCGCCAATCAAAATACAGATTCCTTATGTAGAAAGAAAATGAGGACGTATAAGATGTGTATAAAAGAAAAAGCCCCACTGCGATCCAGGCTCAGCCTTTGTGAATCCGCTAATCCAGTGCAGGTACCAATAAACGCTACTTCCTGCTTATTGCCTCAGTGTCCCGTTTCTCTGTCCAAGTATCCTGCAACAGGATGAGAATATGAGAAACCAATTAAGGACCCAAAATGTACAGTAACTGAGGATAATAGGATCTAAAATGCCTTGAGTGTAGCTGATGGCAAAATTTCCAAAAGAAACTTTCTCGCAACAGTCACTGTATATGAATGTGGAGAGTTGGTTGTGTCTGCAAGGAGTGATTCTATGCAAGTCCCAGAAAGCAGACCAACATGAGATTAGTTAAATCTCAATACTCTGACCTAATTTTAGAAGTTACAGTAGCATTTCCCTTTAGAAACCTCTGCTTTTGGAAAAAATTAAGTTGGAGTTCCCTTGAGTTAGCTTATGCTATACTGCAGGTTTTTTAACTCCCCGCATAGTTCCAAGTAACACTGGAATAAAGGCTGCAGTTGTCAAAGACAAATGTCACGTAATGTGACTGACTTTACTGGAATGAGTGTGGTACTGATAGACTCCTTTAAAGCCAGTCTGGCCTGAATTACACATTGTAGAAGAATGGAGCATGTGGGACTGAAAGTGACCTTGCTTTTATTACTCTTCATTGTGGGCTGATTGATCTCTGTCTTCCATCTTTGAGAGGAATGCATTTCTTGAGTGACAACATAAGTAAAAGGCATTTTTACTTAAGGAAAGTTGTCATAGATATGGAAATCACTTTGACTTATTATAATAAAGTGAACATTTCTTCCCTCTAGCGAGAATGATTAAATCTGATAAAGCCTTTACCTAAATAGCTTGGAAGAACACTTTCTTTTGTAGCAGCTTTTATATCGTAATTACAGCTTCTTTGTTATTGACACCTGTGAGAGAGCTTCTCCAGAATCAGTTTAGACCCATGAATACTCTTAGAAACAGTTGCTTCATTTAGCTCATTTCACATTTGTAAAAAGCCAACTAAAAATAGCTTTGACAAAGGTGATATGTAATTGTTTAATTTCAAGTACTGAGTGAAGCTAATGAGCTTAATATATGTACTCAGTAATTAACATTTTGGATTTAGGATGCAGTATAGAGGTGTTCATAACAGAACTGAAGGAAGAAAGTTTTATTTTGTGTTATTCTTCATTCCTGTCTTCTAATTTTGTTGCCCCAAGTCTAATGGGACTGACATAAACGCATGGATACTCTTACTTATTAAAGCAAGACTTACAGAACTTAGTCTTTTCACAAATTATAAATAAGGAAATTGATTTGTCATTTCTAGTTCACTTTAATGGGATTTTAACCCTAATTTATGCATTGCATACAATCAATATTTATTGAATTCCTCTTTGGGCAGCATAACAATGTGCAGGCATGGGGAGAAATTTTTTTTTAAAGCAGTTTCTAGCCTCACTAAGAATATGAGGTAGGATCTACCAGGTTGGACAAAGTTTATATAGAAATGATCTTTAAGATAATAATAATGAATGATGGCTAACACTTTAGTTATACTAGGCACCTATTTTACATACTAATTCCTTTAATTCTCACAACAACCCTTCAAAATAGGTACTGTTAGTGTCCCTATATGACAATGAAGCAGTTGAGGCACAGAGATGTTAAATGACTTTTCCAAGATCATATTGCTAGTAAGTGATAGAGTTGGGATTCAAACCCAGACAGTCTGATTCAAGAGCCTGAGCTCTTAATCACTACTCTGCACTGCCTCTTGTTCCAGAATGGTAGTAAGAAAAAATAATTCTAATGCTGTTAAATACAGTAACTACTAGACTCATGTGGCACTTTAAATTTAATTTAACTGAAATTAAAAACTTTGTTTCTCAGTTAAACAGCCACATTTCAACTGCTCAGTAGTCACATACTGCTAGTGGTTACTACATTGCACATTTTCATCATCACAGTAAGTTCAAGACAAAGTGAGGTACTTGTGAAGAGTGAAAAATTATACTGAGCGTTAATGATCGAATGGGTGGCCTGGGCAATGAAATAATGAACTGTTCCCCAAGAAGGGGGATATATATTACAGGTGAAAGAGAAGGAAATGGTAATAAATTCAGTTTTAGATATGATAAAGAGAGATTTGAGTTACCCAACTGAGACTATCCAGAAAGCATTTAAAAATGAAGTGCTAAAGCTTGAGAGAATTCTGAGTTGGAATCATCTGTATAGACATGATCCTGAACCATGAGAGCTGATAAAGTTTACAAAAATGAAAATTTAGAAAGAGAAGATCTGATGAAGAACTTTGGGGTATATATAGAGAGTCAAAGGTGAAAGAGAAGTCAAAGAAAGATTGATCGAAAGGTAGGAGGATAGCCAAGATGATGATATACACAGAGCAAAGAGAGATGAGAGTTTCATGAAGGAGGGATTGATTTTTAGTATGAAATACTATAGAAACATAAAGACTGAGTGAAAAAAATGAATTTGGTGATGGTGAATTCAGTGCTGACATTTGAAACTGTAATGCAAAGTTAGTGGCAGAAACCAAATGATGTGAGTAGGCAGAGAGGAAATAAAGACAAAGGTTCAGATCAAGTTGTCACAAAGTTTAGAGGTTAAATAAAGGAGCAAATGGGTGCAGAATAGAAGGAAATAGTGAAGGTTTTTTAAAATATATATATATATATTTGGCTGAAAGCAAAACAAGATCATTGGAAAGGAAGAAGCAATTAGCCTCTATATTCTGTATAGAGTAACCTCTATATTCATTCATTCATTTGTGCATTTAGTACATATATTGCATACCTACTGGATATCGAACCCTGGATATGTTTTTAAGGCAAAAGCAACAGGATTTGCTGAAAAATCAGATCTGCAGTATGAAAGGAATTACGGATCACTGTTAAGTTTTTTGCCCTTCAAATAACTGGAAAAAATGAAATTGCCTTTTACAGAGACAAAGAAAACTGGGAGAAGAATAGTTTTGGGAGTAGAAAATTATTTTTAGAAGTTATATTTGAGGTACCTGTTAGACATCTAAATTGTATTCTGGTGGATATGGGTACTCTGAAGTTAAAGAAATTAACTTTAGGTCTAGGATAGGTATAAATTTGGAATTCATCAACGTAGTGATGACATTTAAAATCAGAAAATTAGATGGAATGACCAAGAGAGCAAGTAGAGCAAGTGTTAACAGAGAAGAAAAGCTATCTAAGAACTAAACCTTAGGACACTCCAATGATTACAAGTTAGAGAGAAGGACAACCAAAATGGAGACTGAAAAGGAATAGCTGGTGAGGTGGAAAGAAAACCAGAAGGCGAAGTGAAGAAAGCATTGCAAAGCAAAGGAGTGATTAGTTGTATCAGATGATAGAGTAAGATGAAAACTGTTTATTAATCACTGGATTTAGCAATACGGAGGCTATTGGTAACCTTGATTAGGAATAATTTAGTGGGGTGATTGGGACAAAAGTGTGACGGGAATGAATTCAAAAGAAAATACAAGGAAAAAGAATTAGAGAAAGTTGAGAATATACAACTCTCCGGAGGGCTTTTGCTGTAAAAAAAAAAAAAAGGGACAGAATCAGCATGGTAGCTAGAGGAGGTAAATAAATCAAGAGAAAGTTATTGTTTTCTAAAATAGGAAAAATTATGGCATGTTTATATGCTGGTGGGAATTATCCAGTGAAAGGGAAAATTTGATGATTTTTATCTTTTTAGGAGAGAACAGAGGGAGGAAATAAGAAAGAGGCGGTGGGATCTCATGCATAAGAGGTGGATTTGGCGTTAGGAACACAGACAGCCTATCTATAAAAGCTGGAGGGAAAGTAAATTATATGGGCACAGATGCAGGGAGTTAGATAATTATGGGAAGAACAGGTCGTGGAAGTTCTCTTCTGATTGCTTCCATCACAGGAAGCAAGGTTATTAGCTGTGTTTGAGGATACGAAGAGATATTGGAAATATGAAAAAGAGAAGAAAGTATGAAATAGTTATTATCTAAGAGAGGAAAAGAGGAAATGGACTATGGAACTGATTGAAGGACAGCTCCTAAGTTACACTTGAGTTTAAAATGAATTCAGCCCACTTGAATATGTATTTTTCTGAGCTTCACATTCAGCTAGCTGGGTTGTAGACATGGAATCAGGGAAAAGGCGGAGATAATCAGGGTTGGAATTTTGTCGGGTGAATAAGTGTAAGAGAGGGGCAAAGGGGTGACTAAAATGACAAATCATGGAATTTATGCTAACTTAGGAAGGGAGGATTTGGAAGTGGAAGGGGGAGCTGTGGAAGGTATTAGGATCAGTTAACTACATATAAGGTTCTGTGGAGTCAAAAATTCCTGTTACAGTTGGGGTATTAGAGGGAGGAAGCTGGAAAAACAGGAGATGGTGATCAGAGATGTCAGAGGGTAAGATGCTGATATGGAATATCCAGTGCTCTAAACTGAAATGAGGGAGCTTACCAGTTTTCTAAGTGGCTATAATAATTATTTTGATGGATTGATTTGTTAGGTTCATGACTACAAAGAAGGAACCCCAGAAGAGAAGACCTACTATATAGAATTATGGGATGTTGGAGGTTCTGTGGGCAGTGCCAGCAGTGTGAAAAGCACAAGAGCAGTATTCTACAACTCTGTAAATGGTAAAGCATTTTTTTTATTCTACTGTTTATTAATGATCTGAGTACAGATCATCTGATATGGAATGCTGTGGGATACTAGACTCATCTTAATTTAAGAATGAGCTAATTACTCACAACTCTTCATTTAAATCTGGGTATCACATTACAGTTTGTGTGTCTAAATTCTAACCATGTAACTCAAAACATTAAATATTTGCTTTGTCTAAGTGTTTCTATTTATATTTTTTGTAAACTAAATATTGAGAAATAAAATTGTATTTTGGGTACTTAACATAAAACATGGAACTTTCAAAACACTGTCCCTGAGAGTGCTGTTTCTCTAGTCAGTTGAATAAGTACAATAGGACCTTTAGGAATCCCATAGTCTAAGCCAAATGTCACAGAGATAGAGATTTCTTTTATCTGTCCTTGGAGTCCTATGTAATTAATTACAAAGAGCTGCCTAAAGGAGTTTTTAGGGGTCCAGAAATTTTAATCAGTTGTAGATGTTCAAATACCTGGAGCAAATTTCCAGATGGAGGCACGTAATAGAGGACATAATTGCAATTCACAGATAGAGTGCCTACTCTGTGTCAAGAGACTAAACCACTGACACATGTGATTGACTTACAGAGTTTTCTTCTCTTTTTTAAATTCATTTTTTAAACCTCTTTTTACTGTGAAATATAATTTCAATTTGTCTTTGATTGATGTACCAGAGATTTGGCATTTCACTCCTTTCCTCCTGATATATGCTTAGCTATTAATAGCACCTCATTTATACTATGTTTAGATTTCATTCAATATTAGGTAAGCATTGCAGTTATTTAGTACCTTCTTCATTCCTTATTGTCTTCTTTCAATATTTTATCTCCCTATATCATAAACTGTTGTGGATATTATAAAAAAAGAAGTGGAGATGGTTCTTAGCATTGGATACATACAATAGAATACAGGATGAGTTGTGTCAGTTCACACCTATGTCCCATTTAGCTCAGAATTCTATCAGAAAGTGTCCCAATCTAATTGAAGAAACAAAACATCCATTAAATGAAACAAAACAGTTTTAAGATGGTGGTATTAATACATGACTTTTTCATGCAAGAAAATACATGAAAATTATGTATATTAATAGAATATATAAAAATGAGAAAAACAGAGAAGTATGGTATCGTATTAGGCAACTATGTAGAGAAAAGGAGAGAAAGAAAAGAAACCTGGTTTAGACCTAGAATCAAATGATCTTGGATTTTATCAGCCAAATGACTTGTCAAAGTTAATATTAATCTGATACGGTAAAGAGAAGTTTGGATATATAACACTTTTGAACTTTTGTTTAGATCTTTTTGAGAAAAAGTTAAGAGCAAAATAAATGTAAAGATAAAAATTATAAATAAATAATAAAGACCATTCATATCCTTGAAACTTTATGGAATTATGGGTCATGAACTTATTAAATACTGAAGAAGAAATCCATCTAAATCCATTTAGTTGATTATCTTTTTCTATACCTACTATTCATTAATGATTTGTCTCTTCCTTGAATATTACTGAAATAATTGCATGTATTCTAATTTAGTTTTACAGATGAGACTAAGATATATTTCTTTTTCTTAACGTTAAAAAAAAAATCTCTGATACATAAACAAATTTTTAAGTTTTTTCACCCTAACTCTAGAATATTTCTCTCGGTAGAAATATTCAAGGTTCTTTACTGCATCTGTCATCCTTACATTCCTGAGAAACCACAAAAAGATCACTTGGTTCAAATGCACAGTCTTTATTCTTAGCAATAACTTTCTTTTCTCAATACCCTATCTTCTTTCCACTGAGGTGAACTAGCCTGGTAATCTCCAAAGGAAACTTTTAAAGTGTCTCTACCTCTCTCTCTTAAGATTAGAATATATTCTGTTCAGTTACCATCCTAACTTCTTTCCTTGGGCCCCACCGTGGCCCTCCTAGCCCATAGTATACAAAGCAAGAACTCTCAGCCCAAACGAAAGAGGGAGAATAAGGGAAAAGAGTGCTGAAATGCCTTTAAAATCTCAAAAGTCTTAAATAGAGTTCCTCAAAACATAAACTCCTCCCTGCCCATCATATATGTCACCTAGGCCTTTGTTATCCTTTCATTCTCCCAACCAAAGTCTCACCCATAGTTTTGTGATATTTATACCTCAGAGATAGGGAAAGGAAAAATATCTGCCACTCCTCTGCCCTGAAGCGAGACTTTATTCTGCTTTTCTTCAGTCTTTTACTTTCAGTCAGATTACCTGAGTTCAGATTCTGGCTATGCCATTTACCATGTGACCTAGGGCAAGTTACTCAACCTCTCTTCGCCTCAATTTCCACATTTGTTAAATGAAGGTAATTCTTACCTCATAGGACTGTTTTGAAAATCAAATTAGATAACACATGCAAAGTATAATAGGTAGCACGTAAATGATGAATAAATGTTAGCTATATTCTTTAATGGTAGCTCTTTATTCCTTTTTTTAAAAATCTGTCTTCTGTCCTGTCCTTGATGGCTAATGGAATACCTCATTGAAGAAAGTAGAGTGAGTGCAGTTGGATATGGGGGCAACTGTCAGACCTCTATTCCAGGTATCAGGAGAGATACAGATTTATCTGAGCCAGCTTGAACAAATGAACGTGCACGAGCTCCTTTGTTGCACAGATGTCTAAAAACTAGAGCCAAATTCAAACTCTTCTGCCCTTTTTCAAGTTGACATATTTCATATCTTGAAGATGGAGGAATCATCAGTGTTATGTCTTCTCTTCACAGCAGAATCTGAGTAATATATGAAAGAAAGGGTTGGGAGTTTGAAAACCTGTAGTTTTTTGACCACAAGATACCCTAAATTCCACTAGACATTAAAGCTTTCTTAATGTCTATATCATATTGTAATAATTACCTGCTTTGCCATTCTGTCTAGGATCTTAACTGATTCTGTTTAATTATATTTCTAAGCCTCATTACATTTTATTTTTCTCAATATCTCAGAAGTCAGTCTATTTTCTACTATTCATATTTCTTGACTATCTCTTCCTACCTCCTTCTAGTGGCATATTTATTTTGCTCTTTTAACTAAATCTCGCAAAGAACTAAAAATTTAGACTTCTGAGTAGATTAGGAAGTCCTAGTTGATCTACAAGAAAACAATTTGTCAGCTAAAGAATAACAATTGTATCAAATTAAGTCAATACTATTTTATTACATTTTATTTAATATCTTAATGAATATAAGTAATATGTGTATTATGATGTTTATGACAGTACTATTTATAGTACAAAAGCCATTAAGTTTTGAATGCATATAATTTCTTATATGCTTGAAGGAGTTTTGATTCTTTGTATCGATGAGGTGATTCTGCAGTTAAGATCAGGCAGAGTAGGCATACATTAAGTGTTGAATGAAGAAAAAAAGAAAAGACATTCTAAAAATTTAATGACATTTTTTTGTCAACCCTTGTGGAATTAAAAAAAAATTAGACAAAGAAAATTTTGTAGTTAATTTGTAGACAATTACTTGTAAGCATTTATAAAGGAAATTTTAAAATAATTGTGTCTGAGTTTGTTAGTCATATTAGAATGCTAGGTTCCTTAGCAATGTAATGCTTATATTTACTAAGCCTCACTTTGCCAATTCTGAAACGAAGAATTGTTATTGTATTGACTTTCTTTTTTCTGATTATTTTAGGTATTATTTTAGTACACGACTTAACAAATAAGAAGTCATCCCAAAACTTGCATCGTTGGTCACGGGAAGCTCTCAACAGGGATTTGGTGCTGACTGGAGTCTTGGTAACAAATGGGTAAGCTCTGATGACTTCATGATTGGTTTGAAATGTTATAGCAATCACAGGATTATACCCTCCAAAATAACATTTTTTGAGATGTTTGAGTGGCAAATACTTTCTCCCAGTCTGTAGACTGCCTTTTTATTCTCCTAATAGTGTCTGTCACAAAGCAATAGTTTTTCATTTTGATAAAGTATGATTTCTCATTTTTTTCTTTTATGTATTATACTTTTGGTATATCTAAGAACTCTCTGCCTAGTCCCAGAACATACATGCAGGCTTTCTTCTATGTTTCTTTTAGAAGTTTTATAGTTATAGGTTTACTTTTAGATCTGTGATTTTTTTTTTTTTTTCGAGTTCTAATATATGAGGTTTTGGTTAAGACTTTTTCATATAAATGTACAATTATTCCAACACTATTTGTTGACAAGATTATCCTTTTTCCATTGAATTGCTTTAATTCCTTTGCAAAAAATCATTTGGCCGTATTTATATGGGTCTATTTCTAGACTCCCTAATTCCGTTCCATTGGTTTGTGTGCCTGTCCCTTCAAATACTACACTGTGTTGATTATTGTAGCATTATAGTAAGTCTTAAAATTAAGCAATGTGATTCCTTCCATTTTATTCCTTTTCAAAATTGTTTAGCTATTTTAATTCATTGAAAATTAAAATCAGCTTGTCCATATCTATAAAAATTCAGCTTGGATTTGATTGGAATTGAATTAAACTTATGGATCAAATTGGGGAGAATTTTTGTTGCATCTTTCTATCTATGAACACACTGTGTCTCTCCATTTAATTTTTGAAGCAAATCCTAGACATGTCATTTCACTTACAGATACAGTACTTCAGTGTGTAACTTTAAAAGTTAAGGACTCTGAACATACTGAAATATAATTGTCACTTTAAATTTAATAATAATTCTTTAATATCAAATATTATTTTAATTTCCCCAAATGTCTCATAAATGTTGGTTTATTCAAAACAGTGTCTAAATAAGTTTCACTCATCATGTTTGGTTTCTTGTTTCTTTTCATCTTAACTTCCACTTCCTTTTGTTATTTTTATATATTTTTTTTCCTCTAGCAGTTTATTTGTGAAAGAAGATGGCTTGTTTGTCCTATAGAGTTTCCTGTATTCTGGATTTTGCTGATTGTATGCCTGTAGTATCTGTTAAATTTGTTTCTCTGAATCTTAAATCTACTCTAAATGGTAGTTAAATATAGTGGTCTGTAAGATGCAAGTTTTTTTTTTTGATTTTGCCAAATTCAAACTGGATGTAAGATTTAATGAAAGGGAGAAAAAAAGAAAGCTAAAAAGAGAAATAAAAGACCAAATTATATGTATATGGCAACATATATATGTTATGTTACATGTATAATACATATATTAACGTGTAACACATGTGCAACATATGTTGTATTACATGTGTAATATATATGTTGATGTGCAAGAGATTATGTAAGACTACAGGTGACACACACACATATATATATATGACAGACACATATATATATATCAAAGATGATGATAAGGTATATGCAAAAATTTGTATGTGACCCAGAGTTAGTGAGTATAGGAAAAAGAAATAGTCCTAAGGGAGAACACTCTGAACACTTTATTCTCTAATAAAGCAAATTTCAGTTTTAGACCATTTCTCCTAAATCAGTGTTGATATTGGTAAGAAGAATCAAAGGCCTTGAACTCAAGTTATTATTGGCTTTGATACAATAAATAGAATGATAATATTTTTATGAAATGGGAGGTTACATAGTTCAAAACAGTTGCATTCCAAGGCTGAGCAGTAGATTATTGTGAAGGGCAAAAAGGTCTGATAATTTTGCGTGCACACACACGCCAATTTAGATTATTCGAAGAGAAAGAAATGTCAAAAGAAGAAAAGCCATGCTCAACGGGGTCGTATTCATTGGATTATGCAATATTGATTTACTGTCATAAGGTGTTTGCAACCAGATTTTGCTGACTGTTGCAAATGGAGCTTATATCAGAATCCAAACCTTTTATTTCTCATATATGAATAGAATTTAAATTAATTCAATAACATCGGGCTCTGTGTTCCTCTTAGTAATAGAAGGAATATCACTCTGTCCTTTGGTTAGAAATGAAAAAAAGAATTGTAATATCCAGTGACCCAGGGCTACTAACCCTAAGGATTTGTATTGCCTATACTCTGTCACAAACTGTTTGATATTTAATTATTTCCTTTTACTATTCATTTTGCATTTCAGCTGTTTCCTTCCCTTTCCATGCTGAATCCATC